GAGTGATTAATAATACTGAGAATACTGATCATTGATCATACAAATGGAAATTGTTTTGTAGTCACATGCTGCAAACACTGTCCCACCATATATGAAAGGACACATTTTATCTGCATTAAGCCCCCAGGAAGTGTGCCGGGCTTTAAAGCCAGTTTGACATAGTGGCCAAACCGTGTAATTACAACTCATGTGATGCACAGCGGCCCAAAAAGACTTATAGACTAACATTGTGAAAGAAGTGGCTGTAAAATGGCGGATTAATTTTTTTTTTAAGAGCCACACTGCCAAACTTAAATGCGCATTATAGTTGCAATAAATGGTTAAAACCTGTGACTGTGACTGTGACTGAAATCCTCATCTTGCACTCTCTGGGTCCCACTAGCATTTTTGTAACAAGTGGAAACTGTGTCATCAGCGCCACTTAAAGTTGCATCTATCTACGCCTCCTGCCTTGAGACTGGAATAGATTTAAATAAGAATCAGTAAGAGATAATGGCTTTTACCTGGATTCACCTCATTAGGGTACGTCATTCAAAGTGTAAAAGACCCTTTTGTATTCAGCCTAGAGTAACTCACAGGGTCATATTACTCTACTAAAATCAACCACCTAAGGCAACAGAACTGTGGCAGATGATGATAGAAATGTCCTGTTATATCTGGAATACGAGTGGGCTAATCGTGAGACACTGACAGACACATCCATATGCTGCATGGAGCCTGGATGGTGTGACTGTTGGTTATCCCTGTGACCTTTCACCCCGGTTACAGCCTTCCTGTGGCAGGCTTGACCTTTGCAATGGCCCTGCTGCCGGAGTGATCCGCTGATGGCATTTATTGTCATGCCCCATTTCCACTCAGCCTGTCCATTTGGGGGTGATGGAATAGGATTTGAGAGATGACCCATGCTCCTGGGAGACTCCTGGGAGTCTGAATCATGGCTGCACACTCTGTCAGTGTAATGACAAACTCTGGCCTTTTAGACACTCAGCACTTAAAGCAGTAATGACAGATTTCTCACATCACCCAAACTTGCTGCTCACTTCCTGAAAGTATGCAAAATGTACCTTTTCTGTTTTTCCTAGTCTACATTCTTTTTATTCCTAAATCTGTCCCATTTCTCTGTCTTTTTACCTCTGTCTCTATTGTTACTCTTTCTTCCCTTTGCCCATCTTCTGTCTTTGTCTCACACTGTCTATCTCAGCTTCTCTTTTTCTCTTTTTGTGAGGCTATCTTGTATTTTTCCCCAGTGGCTCATCCAATGAAAGAGCTGCAGTGATGCTATCTGTGCTCCCAATCTGGACTGTGTGTGCATGCGTGTATGTGTGTGTGTTGTCTGTCAGACAGATTGCTCCTCATAAGACTGAGGCCCCCGGGCTAATGTCACAACAGTCCTCTCACACATTTCCTCAGTCAGTTGCATGCAGCACGACTGTGCGGTAAGCAGGGCCCGCGGGGCTACCAAGTCAATCCAGTTCGATCAAAGAATGAGCCTTATAGCAACTTGATTATAATATATTATTACAGTATGAATTTGCAGTGAAACATGATGGACAATGAGCTAAATCAACTTTATGAACCTCTCGGAAAGAGGTCATCTAATGTCTGTGAGCCTGGTGTAAGGGATCCTACAGTAATAAGACAAAAAGAATCACATACATTCCTATAGTTTTTTTTCGTGTGTGCTTGCTTTGCTTGCCTACCATATCATGTTAAAGTTGTTCAGTTGGTTTCAAATGTACCTCCATATATCATAGTTAGGCATGCCAAAAACCATTATGCAGTCAGTATGCTTTAAACAAAGTCATTGTCAGGTTGTCGAAACAGCGTCTCCCCTCACACCTTTCTGATGTCAGAATTGAGGAACTATGTTTCTGACAGTTTCTGTAAAACCAAACGTCTGACAAATTTAGCAGATGTGGAAAAATGTCTCCATTATTTGGTTAGTTGATCAACAGAAGTTTAATTCAAAACTATTTTTCTATATTTCATTTTTCCAAGCAAAAAATAACAAACTCTGATTTTAGCTTCTTAGATGTGAGGAATTGAGGTTTTTCCTTGGCATATATAATGTAATAAAGTGAATTACATCTTTGGGTTTTGGACTGACCAAACATGCATGGTGGATTTGTTCACTATTTTATGTCATTTTATAGCCAAAACCAATCAATTAATTGAGAAACAATCAGCAGATTAATCAGTTATCGTTGGTTACAGCCTTGTAGTCAGGATGTAAACTTCTCTCTCAAGCTCTCTTTTTTTTATCCTTCACTGAACTACTTCATTCGTTTTTGAATGTACAAACATGAGTTCAACACTGTGAATGTTGTTAAAGTGAGTCTGTCTAAAAGTGTGCGCCATTATTTCTATTTTATCGTTTCTCGTCCTTTTCTATGACAGCAGGTTTTTGTCTGCCTTCGACCGGGCCATTCAGAACAGCTGTAAACTCTCTGTCTTCAGAAGTGGTCAGACAACACGTCATTTGAACTAGTTCCTTTCAATCATACCCAGGCCTTTACACTTGTCAGTACTCTTTATTTATCCTCAATCCCTACACTTGATGATGCAAACACGACCGAGCAGCTGAAAAAAACATCTCTATACTAGATGTGTTTTAATGGATAAGGCTGGATTTTTTCTATATTTTTCTTCTCAAGTCCAACACAAAGACCAAAACTAACAATGCTTAGTCAATCTCTTAATGATTTTGGATTTTCCCAGCCTGTCTGTGGCACTCCGACTCTATTGTTCCTACTCACTTAAATCTTTACAACAGGAGTATATACTTTCATTTTCAAAAAAAGGCTAAAGCTATACGTGATTTCCTAAAAAACAGCTAGGTTTAGCAAACTAGTATATACAGCAGCAGAAGAGTGTATGAGGGCTGACTCATAACAAACTGCAGTGTGTGTTCAGCGTAATGAAGGAACATGTCAGCCAGCGGCCAGTGTGGGTCAGTGATGTGTTTTTAATAGTTTTTGGACAACAATGGAGGTCTGTGGCACAGAGGAAAAGCTATATCAGGCTTTGGCTACATAGGCAGTATTAATTATATAAATTCATTGTTGGTTTTAATCTTTTCATTGGACTTGATGAAGAAAAACGTAGAATATCATTTAAATAAAGGAAAACTTAAAGCAGGTATAAGGTACTTTTATTTTGTGTATATTCTGGCGGCCCTTGCAGACAAAAGTGGTAGTGTTTCCACTGCCCCATTTCATTGATTTTGAGGGGAAACCGACGGAATCCTGGTGGCAGGCAATAAGAATACCTAGAAATAGTTAATTTTCTCTCTGATGGTCTTGTTTGTTAATGTAGGTCATATAGAAGCATATATTAAAACCAGGAAAAAGAAACTCTCAAAATAGAATTTGAAAATAATTAGGCTTTCAAAGAATACAAAAACTAATGCTAGCCTTTTAAACAAGGAAAACACACATTAGACTTGTTGGAGAGGTAAATTATTCTCATCAGGTAAAGGGTTTAGAATAGTGCTTCGAACCTACAAGACACAGACAACACTTACAAGTCTAATGGTACATAAATATGTAAAAATTCATGTCAAGTACAGAGATAATGTTCAAAATCAGTGAAGTGGTCCTTTAAGTACTTTGCAATGCTAAAAGCTATTCAAACCAAAATCCACCTGGACCGTGTTAAACAAGAGGCACTAGAGCAGCTTAATGTCCTGTTACTAATACAACTCATACAAAGGAGTTGAAGGAACAGGCATCAAGTAGTCATGGTTGGAAATTTACATCAATTTGTGCTCGTCTAAGAGCACCGGTCCAAAGGCTGAAGCACAAGATGAAGTGCTGCATGAATACCGCACCTTTGTTCAGCAGCATAATGTCCCACCATAATCACCATGACATATTAAACATAACCAGTTATGCTAATTAGGTGATTAATTGATCAGATTATTGCATTAATTTGTGTTAATGGATTACAGATCATAAATGCATAAATGTGCCATGGCGGTAAGATACAAAAGCAGCTATGGGTGATGTATGTCAGCGGTGTATTTCTCATGAATAACTGACAAATGATTTTACACGTGAAGATCAGTTAATCCCTCATTGGTAAAGAGAGCCTGTGAAATGTTAAGCTTTGAAACCAACAGTTGTCATCTGTGGCTCTTGGGGAGACTTTTTAAAGCTGCAATAGGTCATTTTTATAAAAAAAAATTTTTGTCATATTTGCTGAAACTTTTACTATATTCTGAAAATAGTACATCAGACAGATCATCTATGAAAAACTTAGGTTCCTCTGGCTCATTCTATCGCTCCTAATGGCATTCGCAAGAATCCACAGGGCCTGAACAAAAACAACGAGTCAGAGCCAAGAAAGATAGTTAATTGTTGAGTCTCATTCCCAGGGCATAAAATACAGACGCTTTGAGACCCTGGGAGTGAGACGCAACAATCAACTATCTTTAACTATCTTCAAAGTGTCTTTATATATCTCTTGGCTCTTGTTTTCATCCAGGGCCAGTGAATTATTGCAAATGTCATTAGGAGCGCTAGAGCAGATTATCTGTCTCATGTACTTCTGTCAGAATATAGTGAATATTCCAGCAAATATTGCAAAAAGTTTTAAACTTAACTTAACTTTTATAACCTTGCCTTGGATACACAAAAATCTCATCATTTTGCATGATCTTGTTTTTTGATTTTGAACCTGACATTGTGTTGTTTGATTTGAGACCTATTTTCATCGCTGCTGAGACCTGACATGTGGGCAGTAATTCTGAGGTCTGGGAACAGGCTACATTTTGCATTGCTATTCAAAAACTGAAACAAGAAGATAATAATACCTATGAGTCACCAACAGCACCCTCATGAAATCTTTGTTGTGTTTTGAGTCAAGGATCTGGTCGCATCTCTTGATAATTAGTCATTCATTGTAAACAGCCAATCCCTGAGTATTTGAGTTCAGTGTGAAAACAAAGGCAGATTAAGCCTGTCTTGCTCCATAGTGTCTGTTAGTGTTACTGCTCTTACCTTCTTGAGCAGTCAACTCCTTGTCCCCAAGAAGACCACACTGTGTCCATTGTAGACGTAGGAGGTGACAGAGGTCAGTCTGTCCCTGCTTTCAGTGTACACCATCTGACCCGACACCAGCTGCGAACCCCCCAGGGGCTGGTTTATATCCAGGCCGCAGAAGTGATCATCGATGGGAACAGGCTGCATGGAAAAAGGGCAGGATGGAAAGATGGATGAAGAAGAAGAAGGCATTAAGAGTGTGAAGGCAGAGAGGTGGGGGTTTTTTTTAAGAAGATGTGGGGAGGAAAACATGGGAAGATGTTATAGAAGGGAGGGATAGAAAAGGGGAGAGAGTGAAAGGAAGGAGGAGTGAGGATGACAGATATAAGGAGGGGAGGTGGAGGTAATGAGGGAGAGGGAAGAGCATTAGTGGGAGCCAGAAAACTGACTGAGATCACTGTAGACACATGCAAATATAAGAGGAGAACTCATACTGACTTCTGGTAAGCGTAATGTGCATAAAGTGCACAATTTCCAGGGTGAAAAATGAATACTTCAAAAGGGTTTGGGCTGCTGTGTTTATCAACAAGCCTCGGAGCGGGCGAATTTTGCGGAGAAGACTAATTGCTGATGGCAAAGACCAGAAACGCTGTGTATTTTGCGCCTGTTTCTGTGATTTTTTAGATCGCTTGATCTGACATCATACAAACACACAGCACAAGAGATGTCAGGTTTTGATTAAGCATCAAAGAGAGCAGCATGCTAAGCAGTCCTGTTACATCTACTAACATGTACCTCAAACCTCTGCTAATTGCCTGTCATTCAGTGTATAAATCTACCTTTTTAGGGCAGCTAATTTCTTATTTCACATCCCGTACTTCTTGCGCATATTAGTCCTTACTGTGCTTTTTCTTTCATCAAGCGATGTGCTTGAGCTTTACTGAATGTGATCAGTCAGGGGAACTTCATATCTCACCCCAACATGCTCTAAAATGAGCTATTTTCTTTCTGGCTAGTATGTGTGCGTTCAACTCTTTTCTTTTTAACCTAAATATTGTACATGTGTGATTTTTTCTCATTTGAATATTTGTTTTAACAGTTGAATTCCTTTGTATGAAATTCTATTTTTTAATGTCATACCTGTTACCCATAGAAAGGAGCATCAGACAATACAACGGATTTTGGACAGACAATAACATTTGTAATTTTAGGTGAAAAGTCTCAGCTATTGGACGGACTGCCATGAAATTTGGTATTGATGTTCATGTTGTCTCAGATTGAATTGCAATTATGACCAAATACCCCAGAACTAATGACATTACGATCAGCCTCAGGTGTAGTGCAAATTATCAAATGTTAGCATGGTTACACTGTAAACTAAGATGGCGAACATGGTAAACATGACACAGGAAAGAAAATAATGGCATTCACCTAAAAAAAACCATATCAGTGCATCTCTAGAAACACTTGGCTGTTGATCTTTCACTGAGAAATTAATCATATAACCAAAGAAACACAGTATCTAATGATATATTAACAAATCTGAACCATTGCACTTCATTTATAGTCCATTTTAGATATAAAGCCCTTTGGTTAACAGCACAGTGAGAGTTAATTATTACATTATTATGCGTCTCTGTCCTCTCTCAGTTGCTTTTATGAATAACATTACATCTTATTTGTTTGATGGCATGGTAGAATCAAAGTACATGTTGGGAACCACCAGAGCAATTGATGTGATGAATATCATTGTTTTCATGGTTCGCTTTCAACTTGTTTCCATGAAAGCTACTCATTATGCAGAATTATAGCTTTCACAAAGGCACAGACTTGGACATTTACAAGAAAGCCCTTTTCTCAAGATCAAGAACAGGTCTCAGAGGGTTCAAATACTGCTGACAGCGACAAGAAGAAGGAAGGAGATGGGGAGAGCGAGAGGGAGAGAAAGGGGAGGGGAAGAAGGCGGGAGTCAGTGCCCAAACCCCTGAATGAAATCAAAGCTCCATACAAAACTCCTCTGATTAGCATTGTGGAATTAATCTCCTCCAGCTCTTCTGCTGGGATTCTGAATACCTGAATGGTGTCTTCGGCACAGCTCTGGCTGCCTGCCTATCACCTATTAGGCTGCAAACATGGTTGTGGAGAATCAAAGGGCCAACTTTCAATGAATCTATATCAGTGCTTGTCATCACCATGTCAGTTTCATAGTTGGTTTGTGTGTTTATAGGAAGCAAAATCAGATGGTTCACTGTCTTTCTACAGTCTACCTACCGCCTTGGTGCACTGCACGTCCTTTCCCAGCAGCCAGTGCAGCTCCAGGTTTCCCTCCCCCTGGTAGCAGGACTGCAGCCGCTCCTTGATCCGTGTGTTAATGTCTTGAATGGTGAAGACGCAGAGAGCAGAGTGATCTGGAGGGTCGTGGCACTGCTTCTGTCCCTTGGAGAACACAGCAAAGAGCACGTCCTCCTGCGCGCTGATGTTGAGCGACTTTGCCAGAACCCTGCCGGCCTTGGACAGGTAAGCTGCCTGCAGCAGACGGTACTCCTCGCCTCTGTGCACGCACCCCACGGGAAGTGACACATATGAGTGGAACTTCTTGTCACCTTTGCAGAGGCGGATGATGCGAGAGGTGTAAAACAGGTCGCCAGGAGAGCTGCCAGCGGGCATCCCATTCTCAGGCGTCTCTGGCTGGACAGTCATGAAGTAGACGAAGCTGCCACTAGCAAAGCCATAGATGTAGTAGATGTCAAAGTGTGGGACAAGAGCCAGTGTGTCTGAGGGGATTTTAATGAGGGAGGAAACAAAGTCAGTGTGAAGCTCATAGTCTAGCATGGCAGAGGATTCTGGGTCGCGAGGCAGCTTGCGGCTGGAGATAGTAGGGAAGTAATCCTGTTTGCCACCAACAGCTGTGCCGATGTACAGAGTCGCATCCTGACCCTGCGAGGGCACAACAACCCCGTACATCGTCCCTGTCTGGTTGTCACTGGACAGGTAATGTTCTTTCTTATGCGTGGGCTCTACAAGGATAAACAAGTCATCCAGCCTCATCAGCTTGCATACTCCCTGGTAGAGACTGCCACAGGCCAGCAGCCGGTTATGAGAGTAGTCAATGAGCAACAGTTTATTAACGTTGTCAGTGGAGGCAAGAGGCTCAGAACAGGGCTGGACAATCAGTGGAGGATAACATGCTTTGTTGTCATACTCTGGGCCTGTATCATGGGACACCAGGAGGGTGAGATTAGCTGACAACTTGTAGATTCGGTTGACAGCTCCAATGTATAGAGCCCCAGTAGACTGATGCACAGTCAGGTGGTTCAGCGACCACTCCTTCCTCTCTGATTGAAAGGTGTTCAGAGTCTGTCCAACAGTCGTCTTTTGATTCACAGAGATTAGAGTCAATAGCCACAGTGCCAGGGGCCATGACATGACCTTAAGAGGACAGTGGCCTTTAGTGAGGCCGCAGTAAGTCCATCCTTTATCCAAGCACGTTCCCATCCCCACAGGGCTCCAAAAAATACCGAGCTCAGACAAAACACCCGGGATCGTGTGTCAGCAAGGAGCAGGATTGCACTGAAAAAGCTGAGTTGAAGTGCGGTCTTGTAATCTTCACATATTTCTGAAAGAGAAAAGAGAGACATTTGTTTAAACCCAAAAGATCCTTGATTGTTTTAAGAGTGAAAAACTGCTTTCCGAGTATCATTAGACATTTCATCTAAAAACCTAGAAATATATGTGCTTGTTTTCCCCTCTATCTCTGCTTAGTCAGACACATGAGACATCAAAGAAACAAGTAATCATTTGTTCAAACTGTCTCCCCATATTTACTAGCCCGAGAGATGGTCCAATATTCCCCCTATCAACAGGGGGGCTCATTATATTCGCCTCTCTGTAAGAGAGAAGTAACTATGGCCTATTACATGAACAAAGCAGTGACACACTGTAGCTGTGCCTTCCCTCTGTTTGGGTGGCTAATTAAATGATCCAAATGTATTAATTATGCGTCCATATTTTGGGCTCCCTGTTTTCCTTTCTCCCCTCCGCCTTGTTCGTTTAAATGGTTGAATCCAGGAGGAATTAATCACTCTCCACTGCGGCCGACATTCCTAAATTAATCAGGCTTTTTCCAGGGATGGCAGGGAGTCATTAGAGATTCAGAGCCAGAGCCTGTTTAATTTCATTAGCATATTTTATGTAGATATTTCAGAGGGGACAAACAATGTCCCTCAAATACATGATGGACTGGAAGATGGATGAGTTAGACACATGACAAAGGATGTTTGATGTAACCCCAATCACAACTATACAATGTGATGTATGTTTTAGTTTGATGCAAGGTGTTTCTCATACAGATGCAACAACATAAGCTAATTTGGAACAAAAAACACTTTTTTTATTTCAAAATAAAGACAGATAGTTAGTGAAGGCAAAACAAGGATCGTAGATAGTGGCTTCACATGCGCCGTTACTTCATAGAAGTCCATTAATGGAGTAATAAAACTGCCCGCATAGGAGGAAGGACCATAAATTAAGACACCTACATCACTCTAAATCCTGTCAGTGTACCACCAAAAGCTTCTGTAATCTGGCTCCCAAGGGCTGTTTCTACTCCCCTACCCTGCCCCCTCCCTGCCCTCGCCAGTACCACATCAGCACCCCTTCACACTCTTCTAATAATACTTTTTTTTTTTTATCATTCAACCCCTTCAGCAAAATGGCTCTAAATTTCCTCCAAAGCTATTCTGCCAAATGCTCGAAGGCTTAAGCTCAAAGGCAACTGTCTTTTTTGGCTGGAGCTAACGTAAACAGGGTGTTTTCTCAGTGAGACTTCCTGGTATAAGTAAAGGTTAAATGAAGACAGCCATGTCAGATCCTAATGTGGGGGTCATGATGGGGTGGGTGCTCTCCATTGGCTCACTAACAGGACGTCCGGCTGAGTTGAGTGGGAGCCAGGGATGGAGCGGATGGACTGACACTGAGCTGGCTGGGTCAACTCCAGCTCCACTCCAGAATCTCCTGTCCATCTGTCCCCACTACGCTCACACCAGGGGAGAAGTCACTCGAGTGTCTCGACCTACTCTGCTCAATTTGGCAGGCTCTGTGTGAGCTACTCTACCAGTAATTGGCCACCAAAGAGTAACATCTGTCACACACTGTATTGCTGAATTTAAATCTGAAGCTCAATGTTTGTTTGTGTTTCTTTCTTTATAATACATGACATTTACTCAAACCTGTATGAATCAACCACAGTCATATTCTGCACATCTCTATTTTTATATTTCTCTACTTTAAATGTTAGATGACAAAAGCATCTTCTTTTCTGTTCTGTCCTAGACACAAAAACTCTGTTTTCTTTTATTAGTTCTCAGAAAGCTGAGATTTGGCAGGACATGTTGGCTCTAATATTTACAGCTTCTTTATTTTAGGCAAAATGGTGTCCAGCAAATTCCTTCTGAAAATCCCTCAAATCATCTGCTTTGCAAGCTGATGAGTCCCTGAACCAGTTTCTGTGTTGATGTAACCACAATTTTCTATCATTTGTCCGTGATGAAAAGAGTATTCAGGCATTCTTAAATGTTTCAGAGGAAGCAGTGACAGTCCTTTATTTTCGCAGCCTGTGGGTAAACTAAAATATAAACTCCTTGCAGCATTTGTGTGTTTGTTTTCAGTAAACCAAATTGTCTAAACCGATGGTCAGCATAAACCTTTACTCCCTGAAGTGCAAACCTTTCTCTAAATCTTTCTTTTGCTTTTTGATGTGGGCTTTTCAGAGTGAAAGCGGATGCTGAAATGGGATGTAATGCATTAAAGAGCTGTTTGAAAGTGGGCGGGTTAGATCACAAAAATCTGACTCAATCCTTTGTGCGCGTTCTTGAGCTGCCACAAAAAGGAGCAGACAAGTGATTTTGTGTTTACCAATTCACCGAGAGCTGTCTCTACTTTGTGGTGTCCAACAGAATCCCATTACTTTGAATTTCTCTCGCTCAAATCACACTGCAAACTTCCAGGTGAAGACCTTTGCTGTCATTTGCATTGTATTATTGTCAGAAGCGCTTTTCTTTTCTCAACTAGAAATAATTAATATAAAGCGCTCTCGAGGTCCACCTGTAAATAGCAGACCAAATGATATTTGCAAAGCCAGGTTTAAGTCTGGTATGACCTTAAACAACAGACACCAGCAGTGCCACCCAGAGGTTAATTCAGTTTTGAGTCTCCAGTCAAACCCTCGGAGGAATTAAAAAAAATCAGGGGGAGGAACAAGGAGAGAAAATAGGAAGTGCTGGTGGCAAACGAAGCCGGGCAAGCATGCAGGCAAGCAGCAGCCTCATCGTTTCATCCATTTCTGTTCTGCCGGCTTTAGTCACGTCTAAGGCGTGCAGTCATGCTGCTCAGTGTTTACCCTGGATTATAGAGACAACTCTTTGCCCTGCGCAGTCCTCCCTGCTGAATTCTCCGCCTCGCCACTCAGACACGCTCCAGCCCAGACGTGACTCATTCACACTCACACACAGGAACATGGTTTGCTGAGGCCTCTGGGGACGCAAGCTCTCAGCGGGCACCAATCACAGCGCAGAGGAGGGAGAAGCCACCCTCTTGTGCTCTGCAAACACGACCCTTTGACCTGGATCGAGATCAGTGGAACCATATCCATCCTCTGGGTTCAGCTTTTATTGGGGTGAAATGCTGTCATAGCGTCTGTATCGCCCTGTTAGGGATGATTCATGGGACAGAAGGGATGGTTAGCTTTTTTTCTGTTTCTTGTTTGTTTGACCCATCTGCCATCAGAGATGAACAAAAATGTTCGTAGGGGATATTTCTTTGTTAGGCTGTCCATGTGCATCATTTTCACTGCTCATTCAACTTCGATAGAATGAAGCTGTGTTTTGACACAAACTAACAAACAGGTTAGATGGTTACACATTTTTTTCATGTTAAATTCACAAGTTGTAGTAACTTAAGTGAAAATTCAAATTAGTAGTATGTAAAAAAACGTATAACTTGGGTTTTTTGGTGATTTTTAATTTGTAATGAACATTACTCATTTGTGAGAAAAGGGCCTAATAGGTTTTATAAAACCCAGGTAAAAGCCAGTAAATAATGTCAAAAAAGTATTATTCTTATTATTTTATAAGTATTATAAGTATGTAAGTAAGTATTTACATTTTGAAGATGTTACATTTTCAAACACCAGCAATGAGATGACACAACATGATCTTTTCACTTGAAACAAAGACCCATTTAGCACAAACGGCGTACTGTTGAAGTTTATCTTGTTCATGTTTTGGATTATAGATTTGTGTGAGATCAGGAACACCGTCAACAGACTATGCCATGATCTTTCTAAAGGTCAGAAGAAACATCTCTGTTCTCACACTTAGTCAATAATGGGAGTCATTGTCACTCGCATCAGAGGTGATAAAAACATTTTTTTTGTTGCTGTTGTTTTTTGTGGCCTAGATTTATATGACTGCACAAAAGCAATAACAGTGTAAGACCATGGGGGCGGAAAAGTGTCTGAACTACAATAGTCATAACAGCTTCTGTCCTCATGATTACAAGCCGGCTGGGCAGAAGCATGCAGGGTTTTTTTGTGTCAGTAGGTTTTTCAAGCCGGGGCTGTTTATCTGAGTTGAAAGTCAGTTTATGAAGTTCCTTCTTGGAGATCACTTCAGATTTTGTGAAGAAGTTTTGGCTGCAGCATTCCTGAATACATACTGTAAAATGTTTGCGCTTATAGTGTATAAACTCACATGGCCTGATGGGATACTTTTGTCTGGGGTTTTCAGCAGATGCACATGGACGAGTCATTGGGGGGAGGGCCAGCGTTGTACACATTACACATGAATGAGCTGGGAGGGCGCCAGCCGCAACATAACTTGACTTCCAGATGAATAAATGAAGGCAATTAGTAGATCTGTTTACAATGTTGTGGAGACAGAAGTAGGTCAAACGTGGCAGAGACAGGAGGGAGGAGGGAGCCAGCAAGCCAGAGCCAGGGGCTGTCGCTGGTACCTACAGTGATGAGTCGGGGAATTAGGACATGAAAATGCCGTCTTTATTAACGATGACTTATAAATGAATGTCATACTGAATCACAAGGGACCCGTGGGGTTTTATTAGGAAAAGCAATGTTTTGTGATCAGTCCACCGTGTTTCATCTGTGGCTGCGTTGTGGAGGGGCAGCCCAGGGCGATTGGCTACGCCTTATAAGGCCCCCTTCACAGAAACACAGACTCAGAGGGCATAATGTGTAGCGTGGATGCTCACACTGCAGATACCCACAGGATATCTCCACTTTGATGCCGCACAGTGAAATTTTGTGACAGTTGGCCTGTTGTTAATTTTCATCATTATGCTCTACAATGTAGATTCAAACAGCAGTGCTTCCCCCAGACATTTCTCTCAGTCAGGGGAAAACAAAAATTTAGATTAATGACAGTAACTCTTTGTGATGCTAGTATTCTCTGAAAACGAGTGTAAATTGCTTTTAATTCATTTAGTTTTGTTGGCAGCTCTTCTGGCATGTCTGTGGCATAACTTTATATTAACAAAAACAAACCATAATTGCCTTTTTTCCATGCTTGTTGTTTAGTTTATTGGTCAGTGC